AGACAAACGGGCAAATTAAAGGCAATTAAGAACAAATGGTCAAAGTCAAAGGAACAAATTAAAGACAATTAAAAACAAATGGTCAAAGTCAAAGGAACAAATTAAAGACAATGAAATGTTTTGAAGCCCCAGAAGGTCGGGATGGGGCAGGACACGCCCAGGGGCGTTCCCTGGGACGGACCAAATCCCAGCAGAGCTCACCTGGCCCCGGCAGGAATTTCTCCTGCCCGTTTTTCACGCCGGCTTTGTCCCTGCCCCGCAGCTCTTCGCTCCCTTCGAGCTGATCCGCTACGACGTGGAGCAGGACGAGCCCGTGCGCGACGAGCGAGGGCTCTGCGTCCCCGTCCGAGCCGGTAAGGGCCGCGCCAAAAACACCCCTCAGCCCCGGCCACCGCCCTCCTGGCCACTGCAAGCCACCGGAGAGAAGCCAAGGAGGGAGGAGTCGAGCATCCTTGCAACCCTCCCCGAAGGTGAGACGGGGCTGCTGGTGGTGAAGATCACCAAGAACACGCCGTTCCACGGCTACGCCGGCGACTCGCAGAAGACGGAGAAGAAAATCCTGAGGGACGTCCTGGCCAAAGGCGACGCCTTCTTCAACAGCGGCGACCTGCTGCTCATGGACGGCCAGAGGTTCATCTACTTCCAGGACCGCGTGGGCGACACTTTCCGGTAACTCCCGGCCGCTCCCCCCCCGGTGCTCCGTGCCCGGCCCCCCCAAACCCCGGCCGTGACAGCTCCGTCCTTTGTCCTCCCCAGCTGGAAAGGGGAGAACGTGGCCACGACGGAGGTGGAGGCCACGCTGGCCTTGGTGAGCTTCATCCAGGAGGTCAACGTGTACGGCGTGGCCGTGCCGGGTGAGTGGCACCGACAGCAGCAGCTGGCGGTGTGTGAGCGTCCCCAAAAACACCGAGGGGGTTCAGAAAGGGAATTTTAACACCCAGAGTTGTTTAGAGCACCAAACATCCCCAAGGATCGCCCAGAAAGAGTTGAAAAGGGGATTTAGTTGCCCAAAAGCAAGAGTCAGGTGCCGGGTTGGGTCATTGTGGCCACCAAAGAGGCCAAAACGGGAAGAATTCACTCAAAACGAGCGCCCGGCGTCGTTCCGGGCACAGACCCACCCAAAACACTTTTGGCCACAACCGACCCCCTCCAGTAGCCCGGGGAGGGGCCTGGAGGGGTTCTGGCAGCCGCAGGTGACGGCGGGCGATGCCGGCAGGGTGCGAGGGCCGCTGTGGCATGGCCGCCGTGTGCCTCAAGGCCGGCGCCGCCTTCGACGGGGACGAACTGTTCGCCTTCACACGGGACACGCTGCCCGCCTACGCCGCCCCCCGCTTCGTCCGCATCCAGGTGAGACCCGCGGGGCTCCCGGGGGGGACTCGGGGTGGCCTCGGGGTGAGGATGATGCGGCACGATCCGAGGGGGGGGGGAAATGGATTCAAAGCGGCTCAAAATCCGCCCTAAAATCGGGTTAAAAATGGCCAGAAAATGTTCTTAAAAAGCCCCAAATCGGTCCAAACTCCAGGGGTTTCTGGGGAAAATACTCGTAAGGAACTCCTAAAGAAATCTGCCCTTACAAATGGCAAAAAAAAATTTAAAAATTCCTAAAAATGTCCCCCCAAAAGTCTGGGAGTGCCCAGTCACGGCAGGATGGAATCAGGGAATGGTTTGGGTGGGAAGGGATTTTAGAGCTGGAATCAGGGAATGGTTTGGGTTGGATTCCCCAATCCCTCTGTCC